TGACTAGGTTATTATTCAAATTATCGAGGGGCAACATAAATGACTGCCATACATTTACAAAATCCGATCAAAGTCTTGGAGTATAATAGGTATTTTTGAATTGGTGAAGGATCTAGTACACTTAATACTCCGGTTTAAGACTATTATGAGAAGTTTCCTACAATGATGCTACTGAATCCCACCAGGCCTTGCTCTCCAAAAGCTTTTCTCATCCAAGGTGAACTGCAGTTTCAACTTCGCTTGTGTCTCGTTAACAAATCTACTACTTCACATTGCCACAAGTGACCATGGGTCACAGGACAGATGTAAATTTCATGGCAAGCTAAATCTGGCTTGGAGAAATTCAGAGGTGTGGAACAATTTAATTGTCAGGCCTTAATCAACTTAAGCTCTTTAGGATGACTAGAACCGTCATTCTAGATCTACCAATGGTCCCAGCACAGTCGGTTGACATGACATTGAAGAGGCCTGGCTTTTTTGACATTTACGTCTGCTCTGTGACCCAGTGGCATTAGCGTCAGCGTGGCGTAGTAGCGATATATCGAAATTGCATGTCAAAACTACCCGAGACCATTGATGTGATTCGAGCAGATCAAAATTGTCCTCCAGTCTGGGTACAAACATCTTTTCAGAGGCAAGGAGAAGTAAAATTGAATGATATCTTGAGGCCTATTCATATGGTCGTGAGAAACTGAAACTATCCTTCATCACTTTATGAGACCTATAATTCGGGTAGATCCGAACAAATCGTGGTCTCGCTATGTCGCCTATAATAAGGAGGACTCTGAACCCCGAAAGTCTGCGTCTGGTTCAAGTACATTTTAAGGTTTGTCAGACTATTCTGCAGCTTCTTCTCCACAGCTATGCAGTCGTCGTGCGTAATTCGTCGTGGTGTACAGACATTCCAGCACTTTTCCCTCCACCGTTTGGACTTGCGTGCCCACCTGCCTTACTTTGCTTAAAGGCCTGACTGGGAGTCGGTTTATGTGTATAGCCAGTTGAGGACTGACTTACGTCAAAGAAGAGGCCGGACGGCTGAGCAACCAGATTCGGACGGCACTGCGGTGATCGGCTTGGCGATCTCAGGCTGTTGACTGGATGCTCGGCGAAATCATTCGCCCGGATTGAGAAGAAGCCATCTCGTTCGGTCCCCATGAACGAAGATTGATGGAGGGTGTTGAAGGCCTGCCAGAAGGTGACCGCAAGAGAGAAATTGAACGAAAGAATAAATACCGGTTATGCTCATTAAAAAAAATAATTTACAAGGGTTTTAAGTTCTGATATTTAGACCAAAGGCTATGAAAAATAATTAAATGTAAAGATTCCTCTTGACAGGGTTTAATATTTTTATAATTTTTCAAAAGTCCGATATAAGGGCTGTATTAAACCTATTTCGTAACTCTAATCTATTTTGCAACATTAAATTTCAGGCATTAACTAGGGAAGAGACAAATCTTAGGTTAGAAATTGAGACATATGGAGATACCAAACATATTTTGTTTACAAAATTGTTAATTGCAGTACTTTTCTAGCATCAAAGATAAGGTTAATCATTGACAAAAGTTTGATTAATCAAGGTAAAATAATATTAAGTAAAAGGAAAGTTAGATGATCTTTTTATTGTAATAGTAGACATTTTGATCAATTTATAACTTTTATAATTAAATATTCACAGACACTAAATTTGGATTTCTTAGGTTTTTCGAAAAACTAGAAGAATGACGTTGCGAAATGTGACTTTAACTTAAAAGTTAGATACATGCATATACATGCTAATGGACTTCCAGCAAGACCGGCTGATTACAACCTAATTCTAATCACCCTGAGGCGGTTTTGCTAAAAATAAAAAGGTCTTCTAGAGAGCAAAGTAGCCTATTAGCAATTAAATTTTAAGAATGG